CAGGGTTCCGGCGGCACTGCCAGTGGGCACACAGATGTTTATTACTCCATATACTTTGCATATAAGTGATTCCTTTGTAGGTAGGAATTTAGCAATTAAAAGAAAGAATAAAATGTGGAACAGTGCATACCGTGTGTTGCTATCTGTGTAATTAAGCACAGATGCTCTCTGGAAGACGACAGCTAAGGAATGGTCACAGTGGGAGCTTTAGGGGAGGGAGACTAAGATCCTGAGGTTCAGGGGAGGGACCCCTGTATACTCTCCATTCTTTAGGGTTGTTTTTGTTGTTGTTACCATTTGTACTTCTTTAAAAAAAGAGAGCAAGAAAGAAAAGGAAAATGGTGTACTGACGAGATGCTGAATGTCAATGCCATTGTCACTCAGAATCCCAGCTGTTTATTGCCCCTCCACGGAGAGACTGCCAATGAGGGACAATGGAGCACAATTAAACACACACAGAGACAAAGGCTGGGATCACATCTCTTCCTCCCTCATCAACTGGTCCTCAGACGTTTCAGAAATGACATCTGGCAGTCTTCTGGGCGCTCTTTACATGATTCGGCCAAAAAAGTCAGGAGCACTCAAATCACCTTTGGAACTTCCCAAATCCCCATCTTTTCACTCCTTTTGCTGATAAAGGTACAAGGTCTGCTGGGTTTCTGCTCTTTCACGGACTGCGCTCAACCACCTTCAACGGTTCCAGCGACCAAGGAAGCCGACCGGGAGTGCCTGTACGATACTGTTTCTTCTGCAAAGAGACTGCACTGAAAGCAGAGAACCTATCATGTCCCGACTTGGAGACTCTCCTCTGATAGCTAATGCTGTTATCCATCAAATTAAAGTAAACAAAGGCGACCATCAAAACACTTTTTTAAAAAATTTCTGTAAGGTCCATCGGTTGTTTAGCCACTCAGACCCTTAGGACTCCACTCACCTGGAGACGGTTTGGACATGAAGTCAAAAGTGAGCACATCTGGGACTTTCATCGCTAGGAGCTGTAGCATCACGCTCGCCAGGTTACACCTAGAGTGAGAGACACACGGCGTTCACCTGTCTCTGCTCCTCCGGCTGCTGAGTCAGAACTGCCCGCCGAGGAGTGCTCCTGAGAGCGGGGCAGCACCGGGAGAGTGCGAGCCGACGGGAAGAGAAGCGGGACACACAGGGGAGAGCAGGAGCCAGCGAGCTCACCTCTGGATCTCTGGCACAGTCATCTTATCAAACTTCTCAAACTCTTCCTCAGTGTAGAGCCGGTAGCAGATGCCACTGTCCTCTCTGCCAGCCCTTCCCGTGCGCTGCCAGGCCTGGGTCTTTGACACCCGCTGCACAGCTAGCACCTCAAGACCACTGTCTGGAAGGAGAACGGGCCCCACGAGCGCTTCACTCGTCACATAGACCACTGGTTTCTACAGCCCTGACGAGAACGGGCACTCCTCAGAACACCAGGGACCTTTCTGCAATGCAGGGACCCAGAGAAACTCCAGGCTAGACTGCAAAGCACACAACCAGGCTGCTTTGCGGTGGCTGGGCCCCAAGGTAGAGGGGCCTCAGTTGAGCACTGTGTGGAATCTGTTACTAAATCACCAGGAAAAACCTCGTGTTCACAGCAAAGGGCCACAAGAGCAGGTTTCAGGTCTTGGCTCAGATCACTGGGTAACTAGCCATCCCAGCTTGCCCGGGATGTGGGACTTCCAATACTAAAACTGGGACCAAAACCCCAAAACCAAACCTACTGCTGTTGAGTCGACTCCGACTCATAGCAACCGTATAGGACAGAGCAGAACTGCCCCAGAGTGTTGCCAAAGCTGTAATATTTACGGACGCTGACTACCATATCTTTCTCCCATGGAATGGCTGGTGTGTTCAAACCCCCGACCTTTCAGTTAGCAGTCGAGCGTTTTAATC